AATTAACGCGGCTCAATTTAAGATAACCTAATCCTGAGGAGGTCCAAGGGAAAAGAAGGGACGCCGAAAGGTATGGGAGATTTACAAGCACAAATCCTTTATCTTATTTATTTGCGACCTTTTTGTTTCAGCAAACCGTCAACCGCTAATCTCCGGACTAATAAAACATGGTAATTGAAATTCCTAAAGATTAAAAATTAATTTAACTATTAGAAATTTCAGGAAGTTTATGGAGGTCCTCAGCCCTCTAAGAAACCATACAAAGAGGGATGGAGAGGCTTATGGAGTCGGCTGGCTTCGTCCATGTCCTGCCTTGAGGTCTGAATGGGCACGGTCTACCAAGCTGTGCGTCAAGCTCGGTGGAATCCACAGCTTCCCTTCAGCTCCATTTAGTTCCTCGTCCAGATTTGGGATTTTTTTGCGTGTTTGAAAACCAGTCCATCCGCAACCTTGAAGTCAGGTAAGTGTACTTTGTTCGCCTCCACTTCCCGAACGAACTCCGCATATTCCTCCACAACGAATTCATTGGTCTCAAAACCCAAAAACTTCGTGGAACCATTCCAGACTTCTGCGACGCATCGAGACAACGTATCGGCAACCTTCACTGCCTTTGCGATGCTCGATGTTATAATAGCCCAGCAGCTGCAGAGACCACCTTTCAAGTCGTCCGGAATTGTCATCAGCCATTTGAGATCTTGATCAGTGATGCACGTGAACGGCATCCCTTCAACATACGTCCTGAACATGCGAATGGCTAGTATGGCCGCTAGGCACTCCTTTTCCGTGACCGTGTAGTTGGCCTGGTGTTTGTTCATCTTGGTTGAGAAGAAAGCGATCGGTTGTTCTCCTCCGTCCTGATTCCGCTGAAACAGCAATGCACCAACCCCGATGTGGGAAGCGTCGCATTGGATGAAAAAAAGTTTCCTAAAATCCGCACGAACTAGGATTGGCGCTTTCGTCACGGCCAACTTCAGGTCAAAGGCCCGCGTGGCGCTGAGACTCAAGGAAAACTTAACGTTCCCTGTCTTTTTTAATGACTCGGTAAGGGGAGCCGCTAGCGTAGCGAAGTTGTTCACGAAGCGACGATACCGTGCCAAGGAACACTCGCACTTCCTTCATTGACGTTGGATAAGGTATCCTTTGGATTGCGGAAATTCGTCCAGGATCCATGCATAGCGTTCCGCCTCCAACTACGAAACCCAGGTACGTCAATGATTTGAAGCAGAACTTTGAATTGTTTAAAACGATTGTCAATCTCGATGATTTCAGACTCTGTGCTACCCGAAGCAAGTATTCCAAATCAGCAGATCATCAAGATAGACGAAGACGTTGGTTCTCAGCTCCGCTGGAATCACCCTGTCCATCAGCCGCACTAAACGTTGCTGCGTTGCACAGTCCGAAAGGCACCATCCGAAAATGGTACAACGGCCTGCCTGGGACTGTAAACACAGTATACTCCTTGCTGCTGTCGTCGAGCTCTTTCTGCCATAACGCAAACTTGAGGTCTACGCTGAAGATGTAGTGCGGCTGGTCAATCCGTGAGAGGATGCCATCGATACTGGGCAGGGGATATGCGACCTTCGCGGTCAAAGTGTTGAGTTTCCTGGCATCCGGACAAAACCGATCCTTCCCGGGCTTCAACCCCAAGGTCGTCCGAATGCTCCAGGGACCCTTGTTTTCCTCGAGACTCCCAGCTCGAGCATCTTGTCGATCACATCCTCGACCACTTTCTGCTTCGCCGGAGACATAGGATATGGCTGGTCTTTGCAGACTCGAGCTCCTTCAACTAGTTCGATGGAGTGTCGTTCCAGGCTTGTAGAGCCGAGACCATGTCGCTCGAAGGTAAGGAACTCCCCTTTGACCTTCTCTAATGCCTCCTTTTCCTCCACAGAAAGGTTCCACGATCCGGGATCCTCCTTCGCCTCGTCTTCATCTTCGGGTTCGGCGTATCTGCCAGGCATGGATTTCTTTAGCTTTCTTCCGCCCCTCCTCGAACTGTTGGAGCAAGACCAAACGTTCGCCAATAATCGACTCCAAAGTACGCTTCCTCTTGCAACTCCACTCGTCCGATAATAGACCGATCTTCTCCGGAAGCCGTCGTCACCTTCAACAAGAAGGGGTGGACAGTCACGCCCAACGCCTTCACAAGACCGCTGCAACCTTTACCTAGCAAGCTGACACTGGCACCTGTGTCCAGCAAGCCTGTGATTGGCTGGCCAAAAATCTTGACGTTCGCAAAGGTCAAGGATCAAGTGAGTCAACGCGCCTTACTGGATCTGTTGGCCTGAGAGCCTCATTCAGGAGCTCCATCATTTCGATGAAGCCTTGGCGTATCTCATACCGTAATGACTGGCTTACTCTCGCCTCCTGCGTCTTACGATAAGTCTCAGTCGCCTGTGCGATCGTCGCATTTGCTGCCGACTTCTCCTCCGAAACGAGCCGTGATTTGGTAGGGTTCTCGTCGCTCACTTCGAGGAGTGGCTCTGCGACCAGACCCACGTGGCAAAGTTGAGCTGCTTCCAGGAATCCTTTGGTTCGACGGGATCAACATCCCGGATCCGTTCCCGAAATCGCTCCGTTGGCTTCCACGGCAGTCCTCCAACTATGGATACGCGCTCTATTCTGGCAGCCCCCTCTACGTCCGTTGACCAAAGGTCATCTTCATCTTCTTCAGAAGGACCTATTGACCTCAACTGGTGGTCGTGCTTACTCACAAAATCCCTATCCTTGGACATCGCTTGCAAAAATAAATACTTCTTATCCTAATACCACACACAAAAAATATAAATAACAAGAAATATCGTCACGACAAAAATGTGTTGTGACAAATGCTAAATTGTCAGTGCTGAGCGTCTGCCGCTCTGGGGACTTTCATTCGACAAGAGAAAATAGGTACAACCGAAGTAACTTCAAGATTAATTTTATTTACAGATTTCACTATATATCAAATTTAATTACGAAGGTTAAGTTATATCCAAAATTTAGAGTTCTTCAAGGTATAAAAATCAAAAGACAGAGTCCGACCAGCACCGAACACCGCTTGCCAAAGAGTGGTTTGTCGCATTTTGGCATTCTTCTTTTGTGCTGCTGGGACGTCTCGAGAGCGCAGAAAACTGCATTAAGCACACTCTTTGTCTCCTACCAATACTCTTAATAGATGCTCAAACAAAATGAATATTAAAATGATAAAAAAAAATAATGAAATATATAATGTAATAAATAAATAGATAAATAACAAAGTAAATAAATAATGCAATAAATAACAGAATAAATAAATAAATTATGGAACGACCAAGTAAATAACAGTAAATCACCAAAATTCGCAGCTAACTTTCAAACTCTCCGAGCCACCAAATAAACTAATTTCTTTTCTTCTTTATTTTAGCTCCTACTGTAGGGACATGGAATTAACGTCGCAGGTGGACTTCCGACCATTTTCATCTACGCATCGCCAAGAATCTTCAAAATTTATATTATGCGTGTTATAATTACACTACTTTTGGTTAAGTTTCAGATAAATACCTACATAGATTTAAACTGAGATATTAGTTTACATAGAAACTGACAGAAGAACATATCGACGCATTTCAGCAAAAGTATCGTATGTCGCTTTTTTTCGAAATTGAGGTTTTAATGCAAAATTGTTAGGCACCTAATGTCTCATTACCCTGTGAAATATTATAACTGAATGCCCTATAGTTCCGATAAAAATTAAGTTTCAACTTTATCGTATGTTACAATGTGCGCGCGAAATTATCGTATGTCCATACAAATTTTTTTTCATTTGCATGGAAATACTGCAATGGCACAAAAATACCGAAATACAAAAATAAAGAAAAAGCTTCTCCTGCAAAATTTGATTTTTTTAACATACGATACATTTGCGGAAATGCGTCGATATGTACGCACGAGTCCAATCGCTGATGCTGATCAAGAACACTGCGTTGCAATCATTTTACTTAAATTATAACACTCTCTGTAACGGTATGTGTTAATACGAGGTGTGATCAAAAAGTATCGCGAATTTTGAATTTTCGCGGGTTACCTCGTATTGAATTTAAATTTTTTTTGTCGTTATGTTGGTACTCAAGTCTCTCACTTATGCCGACAAGCTCGGCCATTAATTACATTAATTGTTGACAGCTGCTTTGCTTGCACGTGTTTTGGCTCGTCTTCGATTTTTACCTAATCAAAAAAATGGATCAAAGAACCTGTATCAAATTTTATGTGAAAAACGAAATTAAGTGCGTGGATGCATTCCGAATGTTGACTGTGGCGTATCGTTGCTTGTGCGCGACTTTTTGGCCAAAAGCAACACACTAATGATGCCGCAGCCACCGTATTCCCCAGATCTGGCCCCCTGTGACTTTTTCTTGTTTCCTTGTTTCGTCCTAAAAGGACGACGTTACGCTACGCTTGACGAGATAAAGACGGCATTGAAGGAGGAGCTGAACAAGATAAAAAAAAATGATTTTTTTAAGTGCTTCGAAGATTGATTACTTTGAAGGGGACACATTAGATATTCATGAATAAATAAATCATTTTTGAAAAAACACAAAATTTGGGATACTTTTTGAACACACCTCGTATATCTGGTTTCGTTCGGGTGTCAATTAAATGTTTATATTAAGGGCTTTGATTCCCATTAATTTAAAATCTTCCCGATATTTTTGACTTATATAAGTACATACATACATCCTGCCATAGGTACAATTAGTAACAAGTTCCAAATTGAATTTAACCAGGAACCGACCACAATCTCTAAATTAAATTGCCTAAAACATACAAACTATTGTTAAAAAAAGATTATAGCTTAGTTTTGTAATTATTGAACTAAAATATTAAAACACGAGTAATTTTTTTCATAAAATACAGTACCTATATTTATTTTTAAGATGCGTTACTTAGAAATACTTAACAGTTTTAAATGTTTCCAAAGCGTTATAGGGGATAAATCGAACTGCGGCAATATTATTTGTGTGCATGGATCACAGTGGTCATTAGTAATTGTAAAATTGCAAAATATTCGCATATTTTTATTTGTTCGAAGTACTTTTCTACATTTAAGCCATTTTAATTTGAAGTTCTTTGACTGGCTTAAACTCTAAAAACATATGTTTTTCAGCGAGTGACTATCGTTCTGCCGATTACTCGTACTTCAGGTTGGATTTAAAGTCCGACATTGAATTTGGCCCACAATTAGCGGCCGAATGCCGAGCCATACAGTTTTTTATAAAGTTGCACACACATTGGACGTACTGTTTGGGGTACTTGATGTAGATTTTCACGTGTTCAGCATCCTCAAAGCAAACCGACGACACCTCGATACCTTTTTCCCGCCGCAACCTTATAAACTTTTCCACGTCTCTATAGGGAATGACGACGTCGCCCTTAGAGTACAAGAACAGTTGCGGATATTTATTGACCTCATTTTTCAGCTCGCAAAACGGGCTGGGGTGGACCGAAGACGATTGTACAAAAAGACTTTTGAGAGCGGAAATTGATTCCTGAAACAAAATAAGGATGTATCAACAAAGGTCCTTGTAGGAATTTTCTGTACCAACCTCCACAAACCACATAATGCTTAGGCTGATTGTTATGGCGAGTGCAGTTAAGCAGTTGCAACGATTTTCCCGTCCATAAATGGCTGTGATGGCGCGATACAGACCCAGCATTCTGCGTTCCCCAGGAGCCGAGTCAAAAATGACGCCGTGAACTCGCAGCGGAGACTTATGCTTTGTCACAGCTAAATTAATGTGTTGGTATAGGTAAGCTCCTCCATTAGAGAATATGTGAAATATTAGAGGATGAGCATCAAAATTCATATCCTGGATTAACTTCAGAATTTTTTCGCCAATAGGAACCATTTCTGATCTTTTCCAAAACAAGGTGTCGACAGGCGCGGTATATCGAACAGTTATAAGACTAGAAAATCAAGTCTTGTCAAATTAAATTGTTTTGTGTATCAATCACACTTACCCCCTTTCCTCATAGATTTTTGAGTATTTCATCAGGTATCGATCCTGGCAGCCCGCCCATCCCAACAGCATTACGATGGGCACATTGTTGTCCTTGTTATCGTTACCATTAGTTAACTCAAAAATGTTTTCAACTAAAGGCTTTGGAAACTTAATAAAGTACTCTAATGTGTCCTCTCTCTCTTGTTGAGGAGACCTAGTTGAATGTTGGGTTTTACAGTCCTGTATGGTGTCCATCGGAGCTTTGTATTGGTTGTCTCTGACGCACACTTTCGACCTATTGGGATGTGATAACATTTTCACATCCTAGTTCTACTTGAAAATAGATTACCTAAACAAAGTATGTAATGTTCAATTATTGTATTGAGTGTTACATTTCTTTGTACTTTCTGAGTGCTATTGCAAAGACTTCTACGAAGATCCGGCTCAACCTGGAGCTATACAAATGTCAATTCAGAATGAAGTCTGCTTCTTTTTCTTGCTCCAGTCTATTGATTTTTTTAAGCAGCTCAGAGGGAAATAGTCAGCTTTGCTGTAATACCTTGCGACAGCAAAATACCGCATTCCAGTGGAATCAACCGTTTCGACTCCCGTTTCCCGTCACATGCGCTCGCCAACGGGGTGGTCATGCGCAATAATTTTTTTGGGCCAACAAGGACCTAAAAATCACACACAATTGCTTCTTATAGAAAATATCGGTCCTTCTTATTTACAATTCATTTCCAACTTAACAGAGACAGATTATATACAATACATTTACCACTTAATGTTTAGAGGCGTGCTAAGCTTTTCTACAGCATGGTAACTGGTGTGAAGCAGGTCATGGGATTTGTCTGTACAAAATCCGTCCAAAAAATCTTGATAAATATAATTTGTAAGGGCGTTCTGAGGCTGGGAACGTGGAAGCTTCTGATACAGTTCCTCCAGTTGCTGGGTAAGCTCGCGAACGTGCTGGCCGGTGGAGGGGCGTACCTGCGCACCTCCATTTATACATCCTGAAGGACATGCCATGACCTCCACAAAATGATAGTTCGCACCTTTTCCCCGCTTCAGTTTTTGCACCAGGTTCTGAATGTTCCGAAAACCGTTAGCAATAGCAAACTTAAGGACACTCTTACCATCCTTTTCAAGAACTATCTCTTGAAAGTCGCGATTTCTGAGTTGCTTGAATTCCAACTGTTTCGGTAGGGCTTCGTTAAAAAGCTCTCGAGCAGCGAACTTGAAAATGTGTTCAGCAAAGCCGCCGGACAACGTCGTTTCGTGGGCCCAAACCATTTTATCTGGCTTGACATCAGACCAGGGCCAGTCTAGATCATCGGGATCATACTGTGACAACGTCCTCTCGCCTTCATCCAGCATCTGCTCTACCTCAACTATGGAAAAGGAAAATATTAACTTAAATTAAAATGTCATAGCTTTCTTCCACAACCTGATGTTATTACGCAGTCCACATCTCGAGAGTTGTTTACTTCATTAAAGAAGTCCGCACGGGAAGCCTCCAGTTTTTTGTCATAGCAGGGCATCACGGTCACGTGGTAGATGCTAGACCCAGGTATACCTAGCTTCTGAGCCAAGAACTGCTTGACCAAAACTCCCATTATTTGCTGTGGCGATCGAGTAGTGGCAACGTAAGGCAGTATAAAATTTCCATGAGTCTTTTCTGCATAACACACCCATCCAGGGCAAGAAGAGCTAAGCATGGTCACACTTGAATTTTCACGGTAGCGTTCTATAAATTCTTGACGGCACTCAAGCAACGCCATATCGTCGGCAACTTTAGTGCTCAAAACATAGTCGGCTCCCAAATTGCGAAGGTATCCGCTTAAATGGCGCGCTGCATCCTCTGCCCCCAACTTGTAGCGATGGGCTAAGCTTAACAGAGGCTGGGTGGCCACAGTGAATACTATGGTACGCACATTTTGACGGTCCCCCGTGGTCTTTTTTTCTGAATTCTCACGAAGAACTTTAAGTAACTCTTCCTGGCTCTGCTGTGTGATGAGTACTCCTTCGGCGGAAGTGATGCATCCAGAACAAGCCAAGCAGTCTTGAAGGGTGATTGCCACCTTTTGAAGCTGTTGTTTTCCACTCTGCAAAACGATATACGACTTCAAAATAATACATTTACGGTTTCTACTCACCTCAGACTCCTCATAGCAGCTGTCTGCATGCACTGTAATTTTAGCTCCAGTCTTCGATTTTGTCTGAATTTTTGGCGTCGGCTTTATGCACTCCTAAGGGTCATACCAAACTTAAATAAATTCAGGAAGGTCAAAAAAAACTTTATTTGGTGTTGCTATCAAGGCAAGACAAAAGAATGCCGGTTCCACGTTAATATATCACAAGCAATTGTTAGTTTTTTATACTACAAATTGTTTTTATCTAAGGATTTAATTTCCCTCTTACATTTAACATTTGTTAGTGTCTTAAAATTATAATTAGTAAAATTAAAAAAAAATTGTCAATACGTAAAGGAATACAATGTCTTTTGGGTAACTTTATAGTTGTAAAAGATTGAAGTGCTAGTGTAATGTCGAAACACACCTGAGAGGGCGTGATAAAGTCGTCTATATCGGTGAGCTGTAAAGCACCACTAAACCTAGACATGGTCTTAGTTCGAAAATGTGTTTCTTCTATACGGACTTTGTGGTATTTAAACAGATGGTATGACGAAATATTATCAGTTAAAATATATCAAAGTTCGCTTTAAGTTGGAGGCAAAAGGACTTATACCCATTTCCCACAGACAATCATTTCATTTCGTGTTCTAAACTTATGCAGTATTTCCACAGAGCACTTCCCAAAGAACAGGGCGACCATACACATATTAACCAAAAATGTCGTACAAAAATCTCTATTAATATATATATATATATAATACATTGAATCAATCGTAATCTTTGATCTTATCTTTGAAGAACATTTTATTAAATTTGAAAAGGAGGTAATTCTTCACATAAATAAACAGGAAATCAGGAAGAATTTTATTACTTTTTACATTCTTTTGTTTTCTATTTTTTAATTATAAATTAACAGCGGCTTCTTGCTATCACCTTTAAAACGCATTTTATTTTTTTTGTTTCGGTTGATCCGGTAACCAGTTATGATGTTCACCGCGAAAAAACTTTTTTTCAAGGCGCTTCTGAAGACTAACCGTCACAGGCTTATTTCTATATATTTCTCATTCGAAATTTTGTTCTAAAACTCTTCGAAAGTTGAACAATAATATGTCTTTAAAATTAATAAAATTAAAATACTCATGTCGGCGCCAAAAAACCACAAATATAGCCTTTTTCGCCTTTTTGGTTACACTAGGGCATTGATTCCCGAAGTGGTTCAGGTGGGAAACTAGTGGTTCACGGGAGACTCGACGGAGGTCTACGTTCCGCGTGACAAAGAATGGGGGTCTACACATTGTGTACGGGGGTGCATGAAATTTAATTCGGTTTAGATAGTGAAGAACAAAAATGTTGGTTTGACTTCTTCTATCAATATCGGCAGATAATGTTTTAAGAAGCTCAGCGACTGCTACTTGTAAAAACATGTATAATAATTAGAGCTCGGATAGTCATGCAAATGCATGTTGCATGCATATTGTGCATATTTCTTTTCTTGATTTTATATTGCGTATGTTTTGTACGTTTTGCGAATGTGCAGTTCCTGGAAAAAAAATATTCCAAGTAAAGCAGCATATTGCCTCTTTAAAGCACAAAGCTGCCAAAGAAAGAAAGAATAAAAATGCCGATCAGGGAAGCCAACCCTTAATATCGGATATTAAACTAAAACCAGGGCCAAATTTGTCGGAGTTCAATATCGATCTGTGCAAAACTTTGGTTGAAGCAAACATTCCGTTAAACAAAGTCAATCATTCGAGTCTGGTGAAATTTATTGAAAAATACACTTCACATTCGGTTCCCGATGAAAATACTCTGCGTCGAAAGTATGTGCCTCATTTGTACAATGAAACGGTTGAAAAATTGCGCTCTAAGGCTGACGAAAAATATATTTGGGTTACTCTGGATGAAACGACTGACGTCGAAAAAGGTCTGCTGCCAATTTTCTTTTTGGCATTTTGGATGATGAAAGTGAGCGCGGGAAGTCGTATTTGCTGAGTGTCAAAGAATTGGACAAATGCAATGCCAACTCAATCGCAACATTTTTCACCGACTCCTTAATACTTTTGTGGCCGAGAGGTAAGTTTTTACGCTCAAGCGACTGATGGTGTTTGTGACTTTGTGGGAACCTGTTTTTTTTTTAAGGAATTCAATACGACAAAGTAATGCTTGTTACTACCGATTCTGCTGCGTATATGATCTGTTCCATGAAATCATTACGTGTGCTTTTTCCGAAGATGTTGCACGTTACATGCTTTGCTCACGGATTACACCGATTGGGAGAATTCATTCGTTCACATTACTCTGATGTAAACAACTTGATTTCAAAAGTAAAGGCGGTGTTTGTAAAAGTATGTTTTTGAAATTTTAATACGAGTCGTATGATCAAGAAAATATTTATGTAGATTTGTTTTCCTCTATTTCAGTCACCTGCACGGCGACAGCTATTCAAAGAGAAAAATCCAAACATACCGTTTCCACCGGAACCTATTCCTACTCGATGGGGAACTTGGCTTGAAGCTTGCGAGTACTATGCAGATCATTTTGTAGAAGTGAAATCAATGATCGACGATTTTAATGTTAAAGACGCTGAAAGTATTCGAGAAGCGAAGAAAATCCTTGCGATTCCCAGTATCTGTCACGATCTGGCGTTCATCAAAGCCAACTTTATGTTCATCGTTGATAAAATCAAACAATTGGAAACAAAAGGTTTGGAAATGCAAAAGTGCGTCGATATATACGAAGAAGTTCGCTCGATCTTGAACTCAATGCATATTAAAGATTTTCTCAAAAAATTCGAAGAAATTTTAGGTCGTAATGTGAACTATTGTGTATTGGTCTACATTAAAAATATTTTGGACGGAAATGTACGAAATAAACAAAAATGTGTTACGAATGAATACGTTGCATCATTGACGCCATATGAGATCGCGCTATTCAAATTCGCCGTTGTAACCTCAGTAGATGTGGAACGTTCTTTTTCAATTTACAAGTCCGTTTTAACCGAAAAGCGTCGATGTTTTACGTTTGAACATCTCAAGCAGCATCTTGTTTTGACTTGCAACAATGACCTCTTGTAAATTTTATATTGTAATGCAAATGTATATATGTATATAAATAAGACAGGTATAAGACCAAAAAGAAATAAAGAACCGTTTTTCCAACATAATTTGACTATTTTTTGGAAGATTCTTTCATATTTTTTTGTATTTGGAGTGCATATTCTTGAGCATATTTTGCTATTTTTCGTGCATATTTGCATGCATATTTTGGCCTTTTTGCGTGCATAACTATCCGAGCTCTAATAATAATATTCCATATTCAGTACAACAATGAAACAAAAGTGGAGAATGTGATATTACAAGAGGATCTTCTCGAGATTAGCACTAATGAGGAGCTGAAAGTAACATTTAAAAAAGGGTATCAAAAATTTTTGCTGCGGGCAATAGCGCAAAAGCTTCTTATAGCGTTTCCCTCGTCATATCTCGTCGAAAAAGATTTAGTACCGTTACAAACTTATTACCAAAAAAAGGAGCAGATTGAATATCACAGAACGGGGAGATTTGCGGTTATTACTTACAAAACTCAAGCCAAATATTGATAATTTGCTAACAAAACATCAAGTACATCCATCTCATTAAAATTATATATTTTTCGTAATTACCACTGTAGAAGTCACATTACGTTATAAGTGTTTAATTTTTATTACGTTACGACTGTTACAACAATAATTATTAATATTGTAATAATTTCAATATTTGAGTAAATACCTATAACACAATGAAATACCTACATATTTTTGCCACTTCGTTTTGACGTTTGTTTAATTACAATTTGTGAGAATTGATTTAGAATTTAGCTACAGGGGTCCGCCAGAGCAAAGTTTTGAAAATGGTCTATGAAAGAAAAGAGTTTGGGAACCACTGCACTAGGGCATAGCTATGGAGTTATTGCCAATACTTGGTATGCTTTTAGTTTGGTTTTTATAAAAAAAAACTAGAACTGGGCAAAAGTGGGGTCCCTGAAGTTTGTGTTGGGGTAATTGTTTTTATTTTCTTATCGTTAACAGTGAATTTTTAAAGAAACAAAAAAAAATAATGGAATAATTAATAAATGAATATAAAGGGATTTAGATAAATTTAAGTAGATTTTATGTAAACCAGGCTTTGGGAGAAGGAGCAGTCGGTTCACGCCTTTCACTGCCAAACAAAATAGAAATTCACCTGAAATTTTTTACAGATGTTAGAATAGAGTGTACCAACATAAGAACAAAAATACATTTATTTGATCTAAAAAGTTTAAGGCTTACACTGCCAGATACACAGAAAGAAAATCTTTTGTCAAAAATGCCCTGCAGTTCCAAAATTGCTTTGTCTTCGAAGAAGTGTGCGAAGCCGCACCGACGACAGCGGGGGTAGCAGCCTTAGCCGCAGCGGCGCGAGTTTATAGAGACATTTTATATGGCACCGCCGTTTTCGGGATACATGTCGCTCTCGATGACTTTTTTGTCCGTTTCATCGAACGAGTCGTCGATGGCTTATACGAATTTTGTATGGAGAAAATTCGTATAAGCCATCGTTGCTTTCGTAGCTGACGTGGAGGCGAAGTTTTCATCGATGGCTTTGGCGAGGATGTCCTTAGCGAAATCATCTATGTCAAGCCTAAAAATGTCATCCCCAAATTCATATGAAAAACAATATATATATATTTAATTCTTTTTTATTTTATTAATATATCTTATTTTGTAATATAAGAAATAAGTAAATAAATAATATGAAATTCTAAAGTTTTTGTTTACCACTTCTGTGGAGTATTTGCAGGACATCGGCTGTTTTGCGTCCATCTATGGTACAAATATTTTTATTATTACTTTTTTTAATTTAAAGCAAACTTACCTTTCAAACGAATTTATGGGACATATGTATGGCTGAATCCTAAAAAGATTTAAATAAGTTTGTAGTAAAAAACATAATGTTTTTGTAATATTAACGACACTTACATGATTTTTAAACATTTCCGCTGCCAGTTGCACAAGTAATGTAATTTCACAACCAATCGTCGACGCACTACTTAAAAGAATGACGCAGTTTCATTTTTCTCCGATCGAAAGAATAGAAGACAAATTTGGAGTCGGGCCGCCGTCGTTTGCAAGAAACGATTCGTGTTATAAGAGTGAGAAAGAGAGGAAAACTTAGGAATATCCCTTTTCCTTTCCTACACACTGATTGCTTAATTGACAAAAGTCCACAGTGGACATCCAGAACTGCAGGGTGCTGTCCGTTGTATTATGGCGTGTTAAGCAGTTAACAGTCGGTGAGCCTATCGTATTTCCTTTTTTAAGTTGTTTTGAAGTGATTTAAAGAGACTATCGTTATCGATAGTTAAATTTTTGGGCTTATACACGAATAAGATTTGCAATTTTATTAAAGAATTGTGAATAATACGAACTAAATGGGACGCAGTAAATTTGTTGCTCCGGCGAAGGAGGTAGGAAACAGAAAATGGACTTTTTATGATGATTGCCTTTTGCATTTTTCTTATATCTAAAGGTGATGAATCATAACGAATTTATAAATCGGATTCGTAAAAGCCTCTACTATGGCGTGGAAACTTCGGACACAGAGATGGTGGTATCTTTGCCTCTGGCGGAGTACGCAGCGGAGATGTTTTCCGAACCCCACCGAGGTCATTCCTTGCATCGTTTGAGCTGGGTTGCTGCTGCTAAAGTTCAAGCCACGCCTTGCTCCCTAATTATGGCACTGATATACCTAGACCGCTTAAACCACGTTGACCCAGGGTTTGGCTGCCGAATCACACCACAGGAGCTGTTTGTTGTGTCATTGGTAAGTTAAACGAGATTTGCAAAAACAAGCTACTTTAATTTATTTATACTTTTTTACTTAATTTGCTTGTGGCGAATGTTTAGATACACCTGTTCGATTTTTTACATAGATTTAGTTGCTAATAGCTTCTAGTTTCTAATAGCTTAACATTTGTTTTTAGTCAGTTTTGTCATTTGCTTGCAGATGGTTTCCACAAAGTTCTATGCCGGCCATGATGAACGATTTTATTTAGAAGACTGGGCCAATGAAGGTAACGTGTCGGAAGACAGACTCAAGGAAATGGAGCTTCAGTTTCTTTCCGCTATGGTGAGTAGGGTATAGAAAGTGTTACGGTAATGAAACTTTTTTTTTTATAGGATTGGAATATTTACATATCAAATGAACACTTTTTTGATAAATTAGCTAGTGTTGAACAAACGCTGGCTGAACGGCAGGGATTAAGGAGGGGATGGCTCACTTACAGTGAGCTGGCGCAGCTGTTACCAAGTTTTGTTTGGACTAAGTTTTTGGTAAATAGTGTAACCGTACTGGCTTTCAGTTATGCAGCTAGTGTGATAACCTTGGCGGGAGCTTTTTTTGTGGCGAGCCAAGTTCCGGGCACTCTTTGGAATTCCCAACTATATAATGGCAGAGAGGTACAGCCAAGCACGATGAACAATAAGACTACAGTATCCGCACCAAATACAACACAAGCTATTACTTGTGAGAGTGGTGAATTATCTGCATCGCCTTTAAACGAAAGCTGCGCTGTTTCAAGCATTGAGCCGAACTTTCAACAGCAGTACTGTGACGAGGCCAGAACTAACAAATCGGAGTGTTTGCGACGCTTTGTCAAAACCGTACCTAGTTTATCACTAATTGGAAATAGCTCGAAACGCGATTTCCTTTTTTCCCAAGATGACACGCGGAACTGGCTTAACATTAAATCACAGTACAGTGACTACCAAACCAACCAAAATTACTGGATAACTCTTCATAACACACGACTGGAAAGCTACTGGATGCAAGGACGTAATCGTTCTGTTCTTTGGCAATTGATTGATTCAATGCAGCAGTCGTTTTTCTTGTAATGGCCTGAAGTGTGGCAAAAGTTAATATAAGCAATTTTAAACCATCCAAAGTTTTTGTTTATGACAAGTTTCTATTAAAGCACTAAGATCAGCAACCTAAAATAATTAATCTTTTCAATCTGCCCTCTAATAATTATGTTTATATACATTTTACTCTAAGATTTCCCCGTTTGGTATTTATCTAGTTTACTTCAATCATCGCATAGATGATCTGGTTCTATAATCTGGCAACATTACAAGATTGTTTTTGGCGCACGGCGTTCTTTTGTAAGTGAGGATTGCGTAGAAAAACTATAAAATAAAATAGCGATGGTTCCGGCTAAAATCAGATTTATTTGTGTTTTATTTGTAATGAAAGAATAATAATTAAATACTATATCAAATATAGGTATTGTTTTTTATTGATATGTTTTGCAGTAAAATGATTTTTTGTTATGTTTTTGTGTTCTATTATTAATTTATTTTTTTCGCACATACATATGTAGGTGTGTGTGTTGAGCTAATAAGCCTTTTTATTAGCTGTTGAATTAAAACGACGAAAATTTAGAGTTCGATTTCTGCAAAGGCGATTAACAAAATGGTCCGCGAGATCGAAAGGAAGAGTTAGAATTGCAACGGATCAGACAAACTCAGACCCAGAGGAGAAGCCAACAAGCAACGAGAGAGCGAATAGAATGATAGAGATAGAGAGCGATGGTAATTATGCAGATAAGATAAGAGCGCGCATTAAGAGAACCTAATTATCTGCTGCGGCTGGATGACCCGACATACTCCCCCCGTTGGAAGCCTGGCTTTCAGCAGCAGACACAGCTTATTAACTGCTTGTTTTGTCACTCCAGATGTTGTCTTGAGGACGGCAACTCGAGCAACTCCATCTCGACCACACAGAAGCTCAACGACTCTCGCTAGGGGCCACTTCTTCGGAGGCAAGTTCTCGTCCTTGACCAGCACCACGTCACCGACAACCAGGCCAGGCTTCGGGGTACGCCATTTATAGCGCAGCTGCAGAAGCGTCAGGTAATCTTCCTTCCATCGGGTGCAGCGGACTTGCTGCAAATAGGCCACACGTTGCCATCCATCCAATCGTTCCGTCTTCCTCCCCCCAATAGGACAATACTGGGATCGAACTATGCAGAATAGGGCGCGAGGTCCAGTGTACAGATTACGCTCATGAAAGTGAGTAATGATGGTGGCAGTGACAGGATGGCTTCGTGACAATATGATTGGATGACGGCCATTGAAGTTCAGCGACGAGTTTCTTAGTCGGCCATCCACTCTAAGAAGCCCAAACTGATCCATAAAGGGAAATGGAAATCCAAACGAACTAGATGGGGCTACTACTCCTTTAGACTGCAAGGATTTTATGGTGCTTTGGATATCCGACGATTGATAAACTTGTAGACGTATCCGAAAATCCTTTGAAGCGCAGCGAAGGAATTTGCAAATTTGGAACAGGCTACGATGCCTGCGTATGGTGATTTTATTAGCAGAACCTTTCGACGATCATCAAGGCGATCCAAGAGGTACAGCAAGGGGCGAGATAAATGAAGTACCATTGGAGACGCCATATCCTCCGGAAACAACCCATCCCAGTCGAGTCTTTTGAATAAACGGTAATCCAGGTGCGAGCTTAATTTGTCCAACGCACAACAGCTCGTAAAACAAACTGGCTCCAATCAAAAGATCCACACGCTGATGGGTATAAAAGGTAGGATCAGCTAATTGTATGTTTTGCGGTATTTTCCAGCTGCCGACGTCCACATTGAAACTAGGCTGTAGCTCAGTTATATTGGGGGCAATAACTGCGGTTATGTTCACCGTGTAATCAGACGTTCGGGACTGCATCGTAATATTAACTGAGTGACCATTTGTAACAAAGCTTGAATCACCGATTCCAGTAACAGATGCCGAGGACTTCATCTTCTTTGTTTGAAGCTGATCTGCAAAGCGGGATGTTATTAGATGCAGTTGAGAGCCCGAATCAAGAAGGACTCGACATGGAACGAAAACTCCAGACCGATTTTTTACGAGAACGGTGGCAGTGGCTAGGAGCACAATGTCAGTACTAAAAACCTGAGCAATAAGAGCAGTGGATGTGGAAGGCACGGCAGATGGTTCTACGACAGCATTGACTGAGGCAGCGCACAGTGGTCGCGCCCGTAGGCCATAAATCGAAAAATCGACTTAAAAATAATTAGTCAAAATGTAAAGAATTTGTCTCTAAATTGTCTATATTTTGTCATTGTAAGCTAGTTTTTTCCGGAAATCTAACGGGACATTCTAAAAATAGAATGCAAACTGTGAACACGTTTTAGTGCTTTTCGTCAAAACAAAAGTGAAGTTCAAAATGGTCGGACGTTCGCAAAAATTCACCAAATTTAATTATTTAAAATGCATTTTAAAGTTGAAGGTATTAACTTTAAAAAATTGGTTTTATGAAATTTATCTGACTAATTAAATTTTATTTGTGTATTTTAGATCGATTTTTTTCATGTTTAGTTAAAGTTTTAGTTGTGATCCCACGAAATCCCACAAATAATATGTATGTTAATGTGTTCGTCTGACTTTTGGGGTACTATATGCCTAAAATCAGCTGCCGAAATTTCCAGATGTTTATATCATCGGAAAAATACTGATGCCATCTAGCGTTTGCCAGGGGAAAGTTTTTCCTTATTGTGCTTTTGTTTTGTCCTCGTCGCTCGTGTTTGTAATGTTTTTTAAAATTTTTTTATTTATTTAAATAATAATAATAATAATTGGCCAACACAACCCTTGACGGGTCACAGCCTGTTGCACGATTTGCCTCCACGCACCCTTGTCCTGGGCGCGCCTTCTCCAGTTGGCAGCACCAGATGTAGACAGGGCTTCCATCACCTAGTCTTGCCAACGCATCCGGGGTCGTCCTCTCCTCCGTTTCCTGACAATTACCGCATCAAACACCTTACGAGCCGGAGCATCTTCTTCCATACGGGCGATGTGACCCAGCCAGCGGAGTCTGTGAATTTTAACTCGACTGACTACATCAACATCCTCGTACAGCTCATACAGCTCGATGCATCGCCAACGCAAATCGGACCAAAGATTTTGCGGAGAATCTTTCTCTCGAACACTCCAAGAGCGGCTGCATCACATTGCACCACTGTCCAGCACTCCGCACCATATAAGATTACTGGAAGAATGAGCGTCTTGTAGAGTGTTATTTTTGCCTGTCGAGAGAGAGCTCTACTGTTGAAATGCCTACTGAGCCCAAAGTGACACCTGTTGGCAAGTGTGACTCTCCGCTTAATCTCTAGGCTGACATCGTTTGTGCTAGTTATAGCAGTGCCAAGGTAGATGAATTCCTTGACGGACTCAGAGCTTTAGCTGTCTGCAGTCAGCTGAAAATCAAGACGCCGCGATTCTCTGCTTGAGCACACCATAAACATTGTCTTGTCCATGTTCACTGCTGGTCCTACTTTAGCAGACTCTTTTTCAATAGCCCCAAAGGCTGCTGTAACATCACGCTTGGTTCGGCCAATGATATCAATATCATCAGCGTAACCAAGAAGTTGGACACACCTGTTTGACAGAATCGTGCCCGTCCGATGCACACCAGCCTTCCTTACAATACTCTCCATTACAATATTGAAGAGCATGCAAGATTCCTTAAGTAGTATCCTCAGAGTTACCTCTGGTGTACCACAAGAAAGCCATCTGGGACCATTACTTTTTACCTTGTTTATCAATGATCTTCCATCGATCATTGCGCATTCCCGCGTACTTATGTACGCGGACGATGTAAAACTATGTCTGCAGTATAATGATTACTCCCGTCACTTAAACCTTCAAGCAGACTTAAACAATTTTCAAAACTGGTGTAACGAAAATTTACTGAAATTAAACAGCTCTAAATGCAAGCTGATGACGTTTTGTCGGGTCAATCCACAAAATGTCACCTATTCACTAAGTGGTGGTGCCTTGGAAAGAATAGCGCTTGTTGCCGATCTTGGCGTCCAATTGGACCCCAAACTTAAATTCTCTGCTCATATTTCGAACATGGTTAATAAAGCTAGGGGAATGCTTGGATTTATTAAACGATGGTCGAAGGAATTTGAGGATCCTTACGTTACCAAGGCTTTATTTATATCGTTGGTCCGGCCAATCCTTGAGTATGGGGCACCCGTTTGGAGTCCTCAATACGGAGTACATGCTGATCGCATAGAATCAGTACAAAAAAACTTTTTAATATTTGCCCTACGCCGCCTAAACTGGAATGCAAACCTATTCCTACCCTCATATTCTCATAGATTGCTCCTCATTAACTTGCCCTCCCTTACTAACCGTAGAACGATGCTTGGTACTGTATTTATTCATAACCTTATACGTGGTGAAATTGACTGTCCTTGCTTGCTGAGTAGACTAAATTTCTTAGTACCAAGTAGAATTACTAGAAATTATGCTCCTTTAGTTTTAAATTTTTGTAGATCTAATTACGACGTGCATGAGCCTTTCAGGGTACTTTGTTCAGACTATAATAGACTGTATTCTATCGTATCTTCTTCTGACTCTCTGGAACTCCTAAAAAGATCAATATTAACATTTCTGGCACAAAATTAGATCGTTAAATTTAAAATTAAAATAACTTTTAACTTTCTTTCCTCACCTTTCGTTTTTAAATTTTTTTTTCTTTAAAAATCGCGTCAAATTTATCGCGAATCGTGCCGTACGTTACACGGCGGTCGCCCCTCGGTCGGTTGGGCGGGATTGTGGGCCGTGGGACTACGCGCGTAAAAAAAAAAAAAAAAAAAAAAAAAAAGATAGCGAGTCACCTTGTCTGAGACCACACTTGGTACTAAAGGTTTCGGATTGGTCGTTTCCTACCTTGACAGAGCTGATGGTGTTGCTCAATGTCATCCTGCAAAGCCGCAGCTTTGCTGGTATACCAAGCTCAGTCATGGCGGCGTATAGGCAATCTCGCCGGGGACTATCGAATGCAGCCTTGTAATCGACGAATAGATGATGGGTGTCGATCTGGTCACAGGACTTCTCCAGGATTTGGCGCAAGGTGAAAATCTGGTCAATAGTGGATTTGCCAGGCCTGAACACGCACTGATAAGGTCCAA